GTGTTTGTGTGGTTGTGTGTGTGTGTGGTGTGTGTGTGGTGTGTGTGTGGTGTGTGTGTGTGTGGTGTGTGTGTGTGTGGTGTGTGTGTGTATGGTGTGTGTGTGTGTGTGTGTGGTGTGTGTGTGTGGTGTGTGTGTGTATGGTGTGTGTGTGTGTGTGTGTGTGTGTGTGTGTGTGTGTGTGTGTGGTGCATGTGCATGTGCGTGCATATGCACGTCATGCCGCAATCGCATCTCAATACTTCACGTCAGGTCATTGACAATTTTACGTAATCATTTGGTGCATCCGAACAGCGAGTCGAACTGACATGCGACGCAACCGAGGACGCGAGAAGTTCGTGTTTTATCAATGTTTTATGTCATGAAATGTATTTCGCGCGACCGCATCGCCGTTGTCTGCGCGAATTCGGAAGAAAGACAAACATGAGAAGTATGATATCGGCATGCGCAAAGAATGCGGAGCTGATGTTAATATTTATTTTTATTGTTTTTACTTGTTGCTTGACACGTCCCATTATATGCGATAAAAATTTCAAAGACGAAGAAAGCATGTACGGAATGCACTGTGAAGAAGGAGAATGCATGAGCTGATGGAATCAATAATTGAACAAGATAAATAGACATCATTGCCTCTTATACTTTGTTAGTTGCAAATCTGTTAACTGATAAAGTTAATTCCGTGCTATTAGTTTATTCAAGGTCTGTAAGATTGTCAAGTCTAGATCGTAAGATAATAAAAGAGCATAAACGTAAATTTAAAAATTTGTAATAAACGAAAATGTATTAATTGTGATAAATGAAAATGCATTTGACGAGGCTTTTTCTCTCAGTAATCGAAAATGTGAATGATATTTTGAGTGAGTGTTTTACTGAGTCGACGTTTTTTGCTTTTAATGTAATATTTTATTTATTTTATTTTTAATTAGTTTTAACTTATTGTTGTATTCATCAGGATCACGAGAAATTTCTGACAATCAATCCACTTGCGAGCAATTGCAGAGTTTTTGCGAAGCCACATCTCGACCAATCATTTTATGCAATCCATGTATGCTTTTCATTTGTATTATTATATTATATGCTCTTCTTAGGTAATAACTTTATTGCATTTTATTCAATTATCTGAGGTGGCTCAATCAGAAAGTCGAAACATGTAATAATTAATTATTGTATATTTTCGAATCTATATATTTTTATGTCTTTTTACATTCATGATTGTTTAAATTAACTGTTACATGCCTTTTCTATCGTTATTGTTTTAAAATGTTATTGGTTTAAAATTTAAGAGATCTAACTTTCTTGTTATATAAAAATGTATTCATTTGCATAATTCGAATAAAATCAACTGCTATTAGTGCTATTATTCCAATGTCAATACATTATGAATAACGCCGGATAAGATAAAAAATCAAATATATTAAAGTAGCCAATGAAAAATGAGTTGAATGGAGCCGTCGATTCGATATCGAATTGACGGTTATTTTTCTGGATATTGGTGTTTTACTTATGATAACGTAAAACGATGCCAAGTTACTCAAATAATTTAAATTTAAATTTTTTCTTGTTTATGTTGTGATTTATTAAAGCTATAACGAATAAAGTGAATCAACAAGTTCCTGAATTAAAGATATTTCATTATATTTCTGTTATATTACTTTTTCCTTCTTTGTACGCAGTACATTATATCCAAAATATAATGTGTTAAATTAATATTCAGTTTAAATATTATTATATAATAACAAATCTGCCCTCGATTTATATCTAAACATATATCTTTTTTCTTTTAGACAACACTACTACTAACGTGATTATTACTTTAGACAAAATGGCAGAAATAAATACTTTAGGATGGGTCGATTATCTAGTTATAGCGATAATGTTGTGCATAAGTGCTGGAATTGGTGTTTATTACAGATTTAGTGGAGGACGTCAAAAAACTATGGAGGTAATTATTATTACTAGATCCTCTCTCTTTCAATAAAGAAAGATGAACCTTTAAAGTTTATACTTTTTAGGCACCATTAAAACAAAGTTATTTTTTTTCTTATATTTTTTTGCTGTAATGAAAATTAATGTGTTTCACAGGAGTACTTCGTTGCAAGTCGATCAATGAACATTATACCTGTCGCTGTCGCCTTGGTGGTCTCTTTCATGTCTGCTATTACGCTGCTTGGCGTGTCCGCTGAGAATTATACATATGGGACACAATTTGTTGTAATAAATTTATCATATCTGTTGGGCACTCCGATTGTATGCTATGGATTCCTACCAGTATTCTTCAAGTTGCAGGCGACGAGCGCCTATGAGGTGAGTCTAATGAAATTTGATTTTAACGCTGGAAGTTTTTAATGGAGCGTATATTTAAAAAAAATATTCTTTTAGTACTTAGAAAAACGTTTCGGAGTAAGAGCTAGGATGATGGCTAGTTTTGTTTACTGGATTCAACTACTTTTATACTCAGGAGTGGTACTTTATGCTCCTTCTTTAGCCTTAGAGGCAACAACAGGAATTTCAAAGACTGCCAGTATTGTTATTATTGGCCTCGTATGTGCCTTCTACTCAACAATAGGGGGCATTAAGGCTGTGCTAATTACTGATGTATTTCAAGGTTTACTCATGTTTGTCGCCGTGTTCTTAATTATTGGCACAGCTGCTAACGATATAGGGGGATTGGGACAAATCTGGGAAATCGCAAAGCAAGGACAACGGCTTGAGTTTGATAGGTATTTCAACTTTTTTATTTTATCTACAAGAATTGGGCGACTAGTGTATACTCAGACTAATTGATATTTTATTTTTGTTATAGCATCGATGTGGATCCAACAGTAAGACATACCTGGTGGTCGCTTACGTTAGGTGGTTTATGTACATTTTTATCACTTTACGGAGTAAATCAAGTACAAATCCAGCGTATGTTGACTGTAAAGTAAGTTTTATAATTTATGAATAACGCCGGATAAGATTAAAAATTATCAAATATATTAAAGTAGCCAATGAAAAATGAGTCGAATTAAGCCGTCGATTCGACATTGAATTGACGATTATATTTCTAGATATTGGTGCTTTATTTATCATAACATGAAACGATGCCGAATTAATCAAATAATTTTAATTTTTTCTTGCTCATGTTATGAAATACGTTATTAAATATTATAAAATAATCTCTTTTCACGTAACATTTACCGATTAAATTATGTTTAAAATATTGAAGGAAACTTCATTAAGATACATTTTGTTTTAGAAATATGAAAGCTTCACAAAAAGCTATGTGGCTATCATGGCCTATTCTATCGCTTCTTTCGATTACAACTTGCTTTTCAGGATTGGCAATGTATAGCAAATATCATAACTGCGATCCATTTCTTAAGAAAAGAATTAGTTCACCTGATATGCTTATGCCATTATATGTTATGGACACGGTGTCCAATATACCTGGTTTACCAGGCATCTTTGTTGCAGGTAATACTTTTTCATCATAAATTGATTGATTCGAGCTTAATATCATAGAAATTATATATTATGAAAAAAATTCTTAACCTACCAATGTCTGAAATATGCTCTCAAGCGTAATTTAAAACAATGTTAAGATAAAAATGATCAGTGAATCAGTGTTTACAATAGTAATCTTGGACTTTTTTTCTCATAATTAAACCAATTTTAAAACAAAAGCGTGCATATTTATAAGATTAATCTCGGATTGTCTGTGTATTTCCAGGCATCTTTAGTGCAGGTCTCAGCACGATATCTGCGGCGCAGAATTCTTTAGCGGCAGTAACGTTGGAGGATTACATGAAACCTTTATACAAAAAATGCGTTGGGCATGAATTTTCTCCTACAAAATCAGCTTTCATCGCTAAAGTGCTTGCTTTTATGTTCGGTATTATTTCCATTGCGCTGGCATTTTTAGCGCAATTTTTAGGAGGACTACTTCAGGTAATGCTCATTATTACTCTTCGACACGTAAGATTGATGACAATAAAATAAATTCTTATCGTAGGCTTCATTAACTATTTTTGGAGTAGTCGGAGGTCCATTGTTGGGTGTTTTCACGCTTGGCATGGGTACGGAATCAGCGACGGAAAGCGGTGCAATAATCGGTGCTCTCACGGCATTCTCATTTTTATTCTGGATAGTCTTCGGTCAGCCACGTCCAATGCCACCTAAATTACCTACTACTATCGAAGGCTGTGATAATGTTGCAAATATAACAATGTCCGTTTTGCAGAACGTCACGAGCTTCTCTAAGTAATTGATTTATCAAATAATAGTTACTGCAGAAGAAAGGGTTTTGCTGAAGAATATAAAAATTAGACTTTATACACAAATCTGAAAATTATATTGATTGATTGGAATAAAATGATTGGAATTAAAACGTTTAAATTTGTTGCGTCAAGCTTTTTGAGGCCTTTATCATCATGTTTAATTGTCCTCTATAAATTTGATGATGCAACATAATATTCAGGAAATTGCTTGCATAATAATAATTACATTAACAGCAAATAGACTTGATATATAAATAATAACCGATCCTGCGGTCATCATTTACGTCAACATTAAACTTATATTTTGCTTACCGATATAATCCATCAGTAAATTGTCGACAAAAAAACTAAACAGAATTTGTCATTTTGTAAACATTTGAATAAAATATTATTTAAATAGTTACTGTTCAGATTCTGCTCAGTTTCTGCTTTAATTTGTGCAATCAATTTGCCATTAAATTTTGTTATATTTCTACGGATATTCTATTGATAAAATTTATTACAGACACTATCAAATTTCCACACAGCAAAAATATTTCATATCTTTTAGACATTGCGATCTTTAAGCTGTTTCTGTGTAATTTGAATTTTTGTTGTATGGATTTATTTTTAACAAATTTATTAGGATAGTATATATATATA